TCTCTCTCTCTCTCTCTCTCTCTCTCTCTCTCTCGCCCTCTCTCTCTCCTTTTTTTCAACCTCCCATTCTCCCCTCCAACTTTTTTTTGGTCTCTATGGTCTTCTTTCCTCTTTATCCTCAAGCACAATTATCCAACTCTTTGTATTGGCTGTATTGCTTGTTATCATTTTTTTTTGCTGCTGCTGGTGTTACTGCGGTTACTGTTGTTTTTATTTCCTTCTGTTATTGTTGTTGATATTGTTGTTGTTGTTGTTGTTGCTGTTAGTTTTGCTGTAATGTTGTAGTCATTGCAATTGTTGTTGTTACAGCTGTTGTTATTTTATTGAAGTTGTTGCTACCATTGTTATCCCACGTGTTCATCTCCGTGTTGTTTCTTTGAAGCCTCGTATTAAAAGTCATGTTGGAGTAGTCTGATAATCATTGTCGGCGGCAGTCAGCTTCTATGCATGTAGTATGACCGTTCGTCCAGGGTCGGCAAATGTTTCGGGAGAACATCAGAGCCGCGCACATTTTTGAGTAAAAACTATCAAAACGGCGCACTTTCGGGTAAAAAGTGTCAACGCCGCACACTTTCGAGTAAAAACTATCTGATCCGCGCACTTTCGAGTAAAAACTATCTGATCCGCGCACTTTCGACTAAAAACTATCTGATCCGCGCACTTTCGACTAAAAACTATCTGATCCGCGCACTTTCGACTAAAAACTATCAAAGCTGCGCACTTTCGAGTAAAAACTATCAAAGCGGCGCACTTTCGAGTAAAAACTATCGAAACTGTGTACTATCAGAGCCGCGCACTTTTTGACGATATCGATACAATTAGATTGCCAATAACCAAAAACTGTACCCTCCAACAATTTAAGTATCATCAGCCTTTTTTCTGAGCTTGGGACCAGATATCAATTAGATTTTGTATTGAATGGATAGGCTTTCAGGAATAAAATCATATCTACAGGACAGGGGAGATTTTAAAGTGTTGGGGCAGCATTTTCTTGCTCATTCAGGATAAAAATTGAAGTTGTGAGACTTGTCCATCTGTGTTCATTTGCTTGTTACACATTCTCCCTTCTCTCTTGTCGGTAGTGCCTTTGTGTTTTGTCTCTTTTTTTTGTTTCAACTGTCTGGAAATCGCTTAACATCTTCAGAAAGACGAATATAATATTTGGATTTGGGCTGTACAGAGTAATTTGGTCAAAAGAACTATAACCGTTTGATGGAATCGTCAATTTAGTAGTATCGATATCGTCAAAAAGTGCGCGGCTTTAACAGGTTGTTTTTTTTCTCGAAAGTGTGCGGTTCTGATAGTTTTCCAACTTTTCGACCATCTAGGCCACATCGGAGCTCAGAGAAGACCTGCTGGGCCGAAGAAAAACAAAATATAAATGGAAGGACTTTGCATTATTTGAAAATAGCAGTGCATGTTATGGCAATGTAGTTGATTTTTGTTGTTGTTGTTTTTTGTGTTGTTTTTAAAATTTACGTTGGCTGTTAACAGCAGTTGTAAACCGAGTACATTTGTAACAAACTTTTAACACAAAATATTATTAACTGGGATTATGCAAATATTTAGTAGAGGTTTTACGGCGCTCGCAACTGCATAAGGTCATAATATGGGCACCAAGGGGTGGATGTCAACAGAGAAATCCTTAAAGGGAATCAGACTTAGTCTGTTCACCCCTCTACCTTCAACAGCACGAAGTCTGCTTCGACTATCAAGGCACCCCGGAAATAGCAGCAAGTCACAAGGGTGGGACAAACATACCAAAGAAGTAGAGGAAAAATGACGATAGTAAGGATTAGGAAAGAAAAAGCAGCAGTTCCCTGTTGTAGATCAGGCACAGTTATTGAGAGAGAATGTGTAGTTTGTGACGTTGATGAATTATTGTGTACATCGTCACTGTCGCACGTAATCTGCTTAAGTTCATATGTTGAAATTTTATTACACCCCTCCCCCCCCCCCCCAAAGCTCTATAAAATGCGCTTTTGAAAATAACCAAAAATAAAGTTTAATGCTATGGTCAAGGCTTACAATGGGTTTTTTGCTTTTCTTGATTCCCTACAGGAACAACACAGCAAAAGAACTAGGTGGTTGTTGGATTTATTGATATTATTATTATTATTTATTTATTTATTTTAAAAATAAAAAATTTTAAAAAATTTTAATTTTTTTTGTTTTTTCTTGTTTTGGGGGGGGGGGGGGGGGGGGGTGGTCTCTGGAGTAAAAAGTACCCAAGAGGACTTAACTGGATTGCTTGCGACACAGACAATATGAACTTATGTATCCTTGATAACCCACTCTTACTGTGTGCGTATCCGCCGAATTGGGTCAAACACGTATTTTGTCTGAAAGTATGACATTCACAACAGTAATTACAATTGATGATTCTATGATAAGCATTATAGGGCTCAGCTGGCTAGAGGAGGAGAAGAACATTCGGAACAGAGACAGGTGGAAAGCTCTTCTTGGCAGCTTATACGCAACTAGCTGGGCCCCCTTCCGGTGAAAGGAATGATCGGTGCATTAACATCAACTGAAAGTCATTGGCCTACTATATTTGGTCGCTTTTAAGCACAAGTGGGCTGTCCCGAAAAATGCTGTTTTGAGAAAATCGAAGGTAAAGTTTTTGGACACTTGTTCAGTGTCTTTCAAAGACAAGGAGAGTTTTCTTTATAACCAAACAGATATAAACACCAACGAAACCAAACTTCTGCTATAGGTAGGTCAATGCCCACTTTTGCTGTAAGCCCAGATTTCTGGAAATCCCTAAAATCTGGGTTAGCTCGCTTGTACTTAAAAACGACCATTTACACTGTGTACGGGGGCTCTCGTGGCCTAGAGGTTAAGGTGTTGGCCTCTCATTCAAAGGTCCCGGGTTCGAATCCGGGTAGCGACCGAAAAATTTTCTTCTCTAAAATTGTCTCCTTTCACCTCCTTTCCTGCTCTCTAGCAATGTTCTGTTGTCTGCTTTTAATTCCATTTTCTGCCCCCACCCCCTCACCTCCTTTGCCCCCTCCTCTGGGCTCCTGACTCTTTCTGCAGCCTTTCTACTGCTACTCCTTGGCTCCTCCTTACTGCTGTCTTTCTGCCACACCCCTGATCTTCTGGTAGGAAAGATCTACACCTAGCCTTCTCGGACAGGGGCGAAAAATCTCGGAGGGCCCGTGTGCAAGTTGCGCACGTTAAAGATCCCTTGGTGGTCTAAGATCGATAAGAGTAGACTTCGGCCGCCACCCTGGCAAAATTCAAATTGTCCTACCAACTGAAAATATTAGGTGTGTCCCGCGCGCTCATATGACCTATGCAGTTGCGAGCGCCGTGAAACACTTTACCAAAAAAACACACACAAAAACCCCACTGTGTACTGGAATGGAGCAATACATCTTGAGAGATGCAAAAAATCAGAAGGTCTAGATCTATACTCTCAAAACAAAATGCGCTTCGTGAAATGTCACTTCCGGCACTTCCGCTGTGGAGGACAGAGCAACGCAGATTTGTTTCGTTTCTCAGTGGAAAGGCCAAAGAAGAACGGGAACTTTTTGTCAAATATATTTGTCTAAAATCAGGAAATGAATAAATAAAAAATCGGGCTCCATTATGGGGACCTATCTATCTTTTTTCTGGTACTTGCCAACTATCAACTCTGCAGCTGTCATAGTTTTAAGGGAAAAGTGACACATGTGTTTCCACGTTGCCAATATATCATAGATACAAGGGTGAAAGAGGCGTGATTAAAATGATAAAATGATACTTATAATAAATTTTAAAAACGAACATTTCACACATTCGCGTGTGAGCAATTCCAGAAGATGATAAGAAAAACATAGAATTTTGTTCCTTTAAAAAAAGGTGTTTGACCTAATTAACTTGCCAGATACACGGTTAGATTCGGACACGAACAGTATATATTTCTGTTCGTCCTGCCACTACCAACAAAAGTTCCCGCTTGTATTAATAATGAAAAGATTTATTTTTAAACTGTTTCTTTTCCTTTTGCAGGTAAAAGTGTATCAAGTGCTGGATATCCGAGATATGACGTCATCCCGGAACCTGAGGCTTCTGGATGCACGCCGGGTCAGTGCACATGCGCACGGCTGGTATGTGTTCAACGTCACCAATGCTGTGCTCTCCTGGCATTTCGGGAAAGCCAACAACTTCGGTGAGTGTTTCTTTCCTTTTCTTTAAAAAAAAATTGTTTGCTTCCTCTTGCCCAATCGTTTCAAAATAACGCCATCTGATTAGAATAACGTTGTGTGCATCATGTGTTAGCAATAGTTGACACATGAACATTTATAAGAAGGTTAGTTTTGTTGATGGAAGACTGTACATTGTTGCTGTTTTTTAGTTCCAATTCACTTTCTTCAAGAAAAGTTCGAACTTCTTCATGTTAAAGAATAGGTTCAGGATTGTACCATGTACAAATCATTTCCCAAACAAGCAACATATTCAGTTGAGTACAGATCTGTTGACCCGAGTATGCATTATCGCCCACAGTTACTTTGATTATTTTGAAAGCTCTCTTCTAATCTTTTTCCTTTTCCTCTGTTGTTTCTGCCTGTCCGTCTCGTTCTCTGCGCTAAATAACCATTAATGTGTCGACGTGCTTCTCTTCACTCAAACAATCACAACTTTTCGTAGTTCCTTACTCCCACCCGCTCTTCTGTTCCCGCTTGAGTCCTTTCTGTATTCCTCACTTGATCCTTTTCTTTATTTCATTTTTTTAAATAGTTGTCATTCTAATGTCAATCCAACATTTACGACATTATTTTCAGCACTGTCGACTTTGTTCTCAACATTTACGACATTGTTCTCACCTAAATTTACGACACTGTTCTCAACAAAAACAAAACAAGAGAACTTTCACACACCCAAGAAAAGTAACATTTGTTTTTCTAAAAAGAAATACTTCATATATAAGCACGTAAGGGAGCTAAGTGAGCAGTGCGTTCAGACTCAAGTAATGTCAAGCAAGTGTCGGTGACACAGGGTTTAGAAGGGTGGTCACTGGGGTGTGACCTTGTTCTGCACTGGTGTAATATTTGTATTTATGTATGTATTTGTGCATGTATAGGCTACGTATTCATAAGTATGAATTTATGTATGTATGTTTGCCATTATACACCAAATTGCCCTTCTGGGTTCAATAAAAGTGTACTTTACTTTCATTGTTTTATTTAACTGTACTTCACCGTTTAACACCTCTG